TGAACTAAAAATGTTTTCTCCAAGACACCAAAAGTATCCTTTGTTTCCTTGATGGGTCTCTGAGACTAGTATATTTGTGAGAGAATTTGTCTGCAGCCATCCACTGATCAGAGACAAGTTTAAATATGGCTTGTTTGGAATAAGCCCAGGCATGTGTGAACTGAAACACCAGTAACAATGTTTTTTTACTTAGTCTCATCTATTGGCTATGTAAACCAACCTTGTAATTTAGGTCATGTAAGTTGGTAGTGCTGGTATTGTTATATACATTTATGGTATGTTTAATTCTTATGTACATTAGAACAAAACGTTGGCCAGTTCTGTGCCACCATCTGGATCATGGGTTATGTTCCAGTCCATCAGAGGTACCGTAGTTTTTGTGTGCCTTCCAATCCATGGGATTTATCGTTCAGCGATGATGGAAAATATTCTGTGGGGTCCACAGAGTTTCTGTTAGCTAATGTTGAAAGGTTGCCAGGCCTTCTTCCTAGTCTGTCTTAGTTTGGAAGCTGCTGAAACCCCTTCACCATGGTGATCCTACTGGGATTTGAAAAAAGTGGCTTCTTTGTGGGCATGGCAGGGGCAGTTGTGGGGAAACGAGGAGCTAATAATGATGAGTACAAGAATGAAGAAAATGTTTTAAAACTGATTGTAGTGATGACTGCACAATTCTTCTTGATGTGATTGAACTCCTGAATTGTGTAATTAACACTTGAGCCACTATAGCATGATCCTGTTCTAAGTTATGAGCCCTGGTGGCATAGTGGGTTACTCGTTGGGCTATTAACCAGGTCAGCAGTTTGAAAGTATCAGCCACTCTTTAGCAAAAATATGAGGCTTTCTACTTCTTTAAAGAATTACAGTCTTGGAAACCCACAGGGGCAGTTCTACTCAGCCCTATAGGGTGGCCATGATTCAGAATTGACTTGAAGGCAGTGATAATTGCCTAAGTTAGGTAACATGCCTTCAATTTACAAAGGCAATTGAGACAAAGACGGTTTATTAACTTGCTAAGTCAAAGAATAACACAACAAAAAGCAATTCTTTTTCTACTATGCAATACTGGTTACGTTATTTATGCTGTTACCAGTCAAGGTCTACTACAAACAAAGACATCATATATCTCTTTTATGAGTGAGACTTCCTAAAAGAAATTAGATTGTGCTAACCTTGACATCTCATCTCGATTAAATTTGTCTTTCCAGTAAGTTGTTATTGTCAGGTACAAAGTTACAACACATGGCAGCCCAATGTAAAACAGAATGAAGCATTCCCCAGCCCTGCATCTTTCTCATGATCTTTGCTTTGTGTGACCCTATTGTAGCCACTGTGTCGATCCACTGTGTTAAGAAGCTTCCTCTTTTTCACTGTCTAGTTTACCAAGCATGATATCGTTCTACAAAGACTGGGCCCTCCTGATAACATGTCCAAAGTACATCATCCTCACTTCTAAGGAGCATTCTGGCTGTACTTCTTCCAAGACTAATTTGTTCATTTTCTGGCAGTCTACAGTATATTTAATATTCTTTGCTAATACAATAATTCAAATGCCTCGATTGTTCTTTGGTCTTCTTTATTGTCAGCCTCCAGGTGCATATAAGACAACTGGAAATATTTGAGTTAGGTGCACTTTATTTCTTACAGTAAAATTTTTGCTTTTTAAACACTTTAAAGTGGCCTTTTGCATCAGACCTTTCCAGGGCAATGTTTGATTTCTTGATTGCCAATTGTGGAGCCAAGTAAAATTAAATCTTTGACAACTTCAATGTTTTGTTTATCATGAAGTTGTTTCTGAGCCAGTTTTAGTTGCGTTTAGTTTTGTAATGTTGTGGTACAATACACACTGAAGGCTTTAGTCTTCGATCTTCATCAGTGTTTCAAGTAATCTTAGCTTTCAGTAATAAGGTTGTGTAACCTGCCTATCACAGGATATTAATGTCTTCCTCCAATCTTGATACTACATTCTGCTTCATGTAGCTCAGTTTCTTGAATTATTTGCTCAGTATATAGATTGAATGAGTATGATAAAAAGATACAACCCTGATGTACAACTTCCCTAATTTTAAATCATGCAGTATCGCCTTGTTCTATATGATAGACTGCTTCTTGGTCTAAGAACAGGTTCTAGATGAGTACAATTCACATTCTGGAATGTTATTCATAATTTGGTATAATCCAAAGTCTAATGTCTATGTCAACAAAACATTCTGGTATTCTCTGCTTTCAGTCAGAGCCATCTGACATTGACAGTAATATCCCTTGATTCATACCCTCTTCGGAATCTAGTTTGAATTTCTGGAAGTTATTTTGTCAATATACTGCTGCAACCATTTCAGGGTTATCTTCAGCAAAATTTCACTTTGGCATGTTAATGATATCATTCAATAATTTCCCCATTCAGAATACTTCTTTGAAACAGTTAAGAATGCAGATCTCTTCCAATTTATTGTTCAAGTAGCCATGTTCCAAATTTCTTGGCATAATGAGCAATTCCTGTGTTGTATCTCTTTATTGAAACACCTCAACTAGTAGTATTCTGCCAATTCCCTAGAACAGGGTTAGGGAATGTGAAAGGTATGGGCAGAATTAAATCATCAATACCAATTAATAACACACCTCATCAAAGAGAAGCAGTTCCAGCCATCACAATAGGGGTGAGTTAATTAATTAGCAAGCTAATTTTTAAAGTTGATAATTTTTTATGGTCCATGAATGATGTTAAAATTTTCAAGAAGCCCTCAGCAGAAGAAAGTTTCTCCACCCCTGCCCTGGAGTTTTGTTTATTGTCAGGGCCTTCAGTGCAGCTTGGATTTCTTCCTTTAATATCATCAGCTCTTAACCACATTCTATCACCTTAAAAGGTACAACATTAGTCAATTCTTTTTGGTACAGTGACTCTGTACTTCTTCCATGTTTTTAAAATGCTTCCTATGTTGGTTAATATTTTACCCATGTAACCCTTCAATATTGTAACTCAAGGCTTAACCTTTTTCTGCAGTTCTTTCAGCTTGCTTTTCCCTTTTGGTTTTCTACTCCAGATTTATACACTAGCCAGCTTGTTATCTCAAAGTGGCTTTTGAAATCTTCTGTTTAGCTCTTTTACTTCATCATTTCTTCCATTTGCTTCAGCTACTCTTAGATCAAGAACAAGTTTCAGAGTGTCTTCTGACATTGTTCTGACTTGTTTTTTGCATTAGGTGTTTCTAATGACTTTTTGCTTTCTTCATGTCATACTACAATTCATCCAGTTGTTAGTGTTTAATGCAACAAATCTCGTATTCTTGAGATGGTTTCTAAATTTAGGTGGGATATACTCAAAGTCCGACTTTTGGCTTTCACAGGACTGTTTTAATTATCTTTAGTGTCAACTTGAACTTGTATATTAGCAACTGATGATCTGTTCCACAGTTGGCCTCTGGCCTTATTCTGACAGATGATTTTGAGCTTCTATTGTCATAATTCACAGATATAGTGGGTTTGCTTCCAGTGCAGTTCATTTAGTGAGGTCTACATGCACAGTCACCATTTAAGTTGTTGATAAAAGGTGTATAATGTGAATACATTTTAATCTTGCAAAATCCAATCATGCTATCTCTTCTGGTTCATAATGCTAAATATCTATGCTGTCACACCATAAAATCCAACTAGCACCTACTGGTGGGTCCTTTCAAAGCCCAAAGAAAGCCTTAAAAACACCCAGACGGTTCAAATCTTGGGGAAAAAACAACAAAACTATAGAACTTCAAACATTTACACGCGTTTTGTCCCTGCGGCATCTCCCATGGCTTATTATCCAATCCTAATTTATCCTATACTGTCCTGTCCTATCCTAAAGAACATACAGTGGTTTCCAATCATGCACAGCTTTCTCACACGCAGTCTGAGGCCTGCAAGGTTTCCTCAATCGCTGTGTAACACACCTGACACACGGATCCCTGATCAATTTCAACTGGGAGTGAGATGGCAACGAACAGATAAAATAGGTTTGCTCCTGTTTTTTCCATAGTACAGTTTTTAAGAGCGTGTGCTTTATACAGACATTAATCCAGGAGGCCAACAAACACGATTTCCAGTCCTGAAATGACCAGGCTTCTCTCTTGCAGGCACCGACTCATTTTTACCTCGCTCATCCCCAGGGCAGCCCATACTGGGCCAGCTACGGACACAGGGCCAAGTCACCACTATCCTTTCAACAGTTGCCTGAGGCTCCAGAGGGGTGGTCCTGAACTCTGGGAGTGTGCTGTCCGTTCCCGTCTCCATTCATCACCTTCTTGGAACAGCAGCTGGGAAAGGAGGGCGCACGGAGGCGTGGGTGGCCAGCTCTCGAATGGGAGCCTCGGGAGCCACTGCGGCACAGCTAGCTACGCGGCTCCCGCCTCGCGCTCCCGCACGCACAGTCGCCAGCCGGGTCCCGAACGCCGTCCCTGGCCGCCCGGGCGCCCACCCGCCGCTGCCCACTCACCGCTGCACTCGGACGAATACTGGTCCCCCCAGTCCCGAGACTGCGGGTTGCAGCCGCCGCCACCCGCCGGGGCCTCCTGCTGCTTCCGGTGCTGCAGCTCTTGCTTGAGTAGGGACAGCGGCGAATAGTACTCGGTGGCCATAGCCCCTGGGTGCAGCTCCGCAGGCAGGGCCCCCAACAGCAGCAACAGTACCAGAAGGCGCTGGGCAACGCGGGCAGCGGACACGGCGCGGCCCCAGCAGCAGCAGCAGTAGCCGGCAGGTGCCATCTTCCCTCAAAGCGCATGTGTGTTTGCCCCTCTCCCCCGCACTCCGGCCTCCCGCCTGCGAGCTGCCGCGGGGCAGGTGGGCCGTGGGAAGGAGGGGGCGGGAACAGGGAACCGGCGTTGCCTTCTGGGAATTGTAGGCCCAGCTCCGTAAACCTTTAACGTCGGCCTGCAGTAGAACTACAAGTCCCAGGAAGCAACGCGCGGCAAGGGTCTTCCGCTGGTGCGCGTCTACGTAGCCCTTCCACTCAGTCGGAAGTACCCAGCAGTTGAGGGAAATGGGGACCGGCGGGCGGAGCGGGCCCAGGCCAGGGAAAGGGAACGTGGAGGGGGCGGCAGCGACTCCTACTGCTACCTCGGCCTCCTGCCAGTACAGGTGCATTGAATGCAGTGAAGAAGCGAAGGAGCTGTACCGAGACTATAGCCACGGTGTGCTGAAGATAACCATTTGCGTGAGTTACTGGCTTGGGGTGTCCTTGTGCAGAATCTGTATGGCGCAGCGGGAGTTGGGTGCTGCGAGAAGCAGTGAGGTCTCTATCCGTTTTCCAGGATTGCGAACATCGTGTCTTCAGTTAGTTGTGTGATGCTCGTGGCCGTAGTCCGTCGTGTTTTTGCAGGAATTCCTATAGTGATGGCGAACTCGCTGTCAGTGGCACTGTTCTCACCGAGCGGAGCGGCTTGCTTGATCCGTGAGAACTCATTCGTTTGGGGTCCTGTCAAAGCTCTTTCGTCCCTAGGTAGTTTTCCTTTGCTACAAAAATGTTGCCATTTCTACTCTCCACAACGCATATTGAATTCAGCGGGAATACCTTTTTTAAGGTTTCTCCCGTTATGGTAGGTGAATGTCTGTTATATACAAAGTTCTGCAAGGAGTTGGTGATACAAAAACTAGAATTGAAGAAAAGTTCTGTATTCGAGGTGTCCATAGTCTGTTATAAAGATGAGCTTAAGTTTTAATAGACACAAATTTGAAGGTTCTTTTAAGGCAAAGGACCTACATACAATAAATTTTTGTCCCGTTTCTGATTTCTTGATGATGTTTTAGTATGAACCCCCTTAAAAATATATATGATCTATAGTAAACTGCTGTAGACAACGTGTGAGTCTGCATTGTCCATTGCAAATACAGGTGCAGACACCTAGTTTCTGTTTCCCCTCTCAGTGGTTTTCCTTCAAGTGGCAAAATTTCCTCCCCGGTTAAATCTAACATATTGCCTAACTATTAGGCAGCTCAACATTATTAGACCTAGGTGGGGAGGGGGGGAAGGGATGGGATGAGATGGGATGGGACACATGACCACTAGTAGGCCCTTAGATACTGTCCAGCCATCACATTACATTTCCTTAGTCTAGTCACACTCTCACTCTTGTGGACAGTCATAACTTGCTCTTTCACCAAGTTTCCATTATATCCTCCCCCCTCCCCTGCTTGACTGAGAAGACAGAGAGAACTGCAATTAGCGCCATAATTTTGGATACCCAGTGTTGGCATTAAGGAGTCCTTATTGCTTGGAAGAAAATCTTTCTCTGTTCGGGGTACTCATCTATGAGTGGTAAATAGCACAGGAAGAGTAATTTTGCTAATATAAGAGCACGCATTTATTAAAAGTAGACATCTCCCAACAAAATACTTTATTACATTTGTTTGTTTTTTCTTTTCTTTCTTTAAAATTTTTTTTAATTTGGACATAATTCACACTATACAATTCAATAGTTCAGTCATATCAAGCAGTGTTGTACAGTCACTACCACAATCAGTTTTAGAGTGTTTTCTTCCTTCTTGGGCTTCGTGTTATTAGCTCCCCAGTACCCTCTATTCTCCCTGCTATACCCCCCAGGAGCCCTTAATCTAGTGATTTGTCTCTATAGGGTCACCCATTCTGGGGTTCATATACCAAAAGACATAGAAAAAGACATCACAGAGTCAAGAAGACTACCAACAATAACAAAATACAGAGATAAACCCCAGTTTGAAAGAAAACAAAATATTTTGTTGTTATGTTTTGCTTTGTCTTGTTTTTGTGCTCATTATTGTCTCTACATGTCTAGCTAGACAAGATAGGTGAGATAAACAAACCAGAGGAGAAAACAACAGGACTGACAGTTCCGGGGGGAGGGAGATGGGGAGGTGGGGGAAAGGAAAGGGGGTGCCAACAAACCCAGGGACAAGGGAACAAGAAGTGATTTAAAATCCATGGTGAGGAGGGCATAGGATGCCTGGGGGGCTTGAACAAGGGCAATGTAGCCGAGAGGAATTACGGAAACCTGAATGAAGGCCGAACATGAGAGTAGGACAAGAGGAAAGTCAAAGGAAATAGAGGAAAGAAATAAGAGGCAGAAGACATTTATACAGGTCTAAATACAGGTATGTATATATAAATACATTTATATATAACAATAGGGAAATACACCTACATGCATATATTTACGTAGTAAATAGTAAGGCAGCAGATGGGCATTGGGCCTCCACTCAAGTACTCTCTCAATGCAAGAACACTTTGTTCTAATAACCCAGCATACTATGATGCTCACCTTCCTGACACAAGCTCACCACAAAATGGGTGCATAAGCAAATGTGGTGAAGAAAGTTAATGGTGCCCAGCTATCAAAAGATACAGCATCTGAGGTCTTAAAGGCTTGAAGATAAACAAGTGGCCATCTAGCTGAGAAGCAACAAAGCCCACATGGAAGCACACCAGCCTGTGTGATCATGGGGTGTCGATGGGATCAAGTATCAGACATCAAAGACCCCAAACAAAAAATCATATCAATGTAAATGAGAGAGAGGGCTGAGTGGAGACCCAAAGCCCATCTGTAGACAATTGGACATCCCCTTACAGAAGGGTCACAAGGAAGAGATGAGCCATAAAGCACCAATGAAACACAACTTTCCTCTAGTTCTTTAATGCTTCCTACCCCTCCTCTCACGGTCATGTCCCCAAATCTACCATACAAATCCAGCTAGATCAGAGCATGTACCCTGGTACAGACAAGAGCTCACAACACAGGGAATCCAGGACAGATAAACCCCTCAGGACCAATAATGAGAGTAGCGATACCAGGAGGGTATGGGGAAGATGAGGGAAGAAAGGGGGAACTGATCACAATGATTGACATATAACTTACCCCACCAGGGGGACAGACAACAGAAAAGTGGGTGAAGGGAGACAGTGGTTGGTGTAAGACATGAAAAAATGTATACATTATCAAGGGTTCATAAGGCGGGGGAAGGGAAATGAGCTGATACCAAGGTCTCAAGTAGAAAGAAAATGTTTTGAAAATGATGATGGCAACATATGTACAAAAGTGCTTGACACAATGGATGGATGTGTTAAGAGCTGTAAGAGCCCCCAATAAAATGATTTTTTTAAAATAAAGAAAACAAAATATTAAAAACCAGAACTAAAAATGCGTCAAAAGGGAAAGCAAATGAAATGTTTTAGTCATTCAAATCATATGTTGAATTTTAATCTACTATAGTTGTCTCTTCAATACTTTCTGTCTGATAATCAGGTTATCTCCACCCCTCAATTGTGGTCAGAGGGAAATCACCAGAGGCTTGTTCTATGTGTAGATCCTGCAAATGTATTTTGCACTTTCACTGTCATCCATAGTTTTTGCATGTTTGGTTTTTATTTTCTTGTGGTTTCCCTCCTTACGTTCAAGGTAAAGTCAGGAGAAAAGTGAGAGAAGCACTTAAGAAAGTACTTAAGAAGCACAAATAATAGAGGCAGAACATGAAAAAAGTAAGTCTAAACTAACTGAGAGGGAACCAGCATACTTTAATGACTTTAAAAAGTATTTATGAAATATTCAGCATGCTTAGATGGGAAGAGGAGGAAAGCACATAGCTTATCACAAACATCCAAAAGCTGCCTCTCCTATTTGGTCTCATGCTGCCTGGTGATTATCCTATCATAGCACTTATCAGGCCATATTATAGTGGCACACTTATTTATCTCTCTCCCCATGTCCTCTCAGACTGTAAGGTCCTTGATGATAGAGACATGTCTTAAGGTTAATACCTAGCATTTTGGAAGTGCCTGTTCTGTAGGAATAGCTAAGTAAAGAGAGTTATTGCTGTGAACGGAATAGCCATTCCAAAAGCATTTGTCAAGCAAATGAATGCAAAAGGAGTAACTTTACTAGTTTGTCTCAGGTGTAGTTTCTGCCCACCGTCTTCCAAAGCGTCTCAACCCATAATCTCAGACTTGTGATGCTGTCTAGAGGACTTTGAACGGACATAGAAAGGACCCTTGACTTCTTAGTTTGTAGTTTTATTTTAAAAATAAAGTAGCCACTCAGGTCTTCCCATCTTGCAGAATAGTATGGGGATGGGCTCTGTAAACCAATTGTTATGAACATATAATTTCTCATTCTGTGGCTCCTTTTATGACAGTGGTTTGCTCTCTGCTCTGGCAAAGACCTTCAGAATATTCATTCTTTGTGCTTTTGTTTGATAAGCTTAATCTAAACTTGAAGCATCCTTCTCTTCCTTGGTTTACTTAATGAGTAGAAAACCATGCCTATATGTTGTAATAACATACAGCAATTGCAGAAACTCTTTACATTGGCAATGAATCCAGATTTTCATTACATGTGAAGTACAGGTTTCCAATTCTTCAGTGCTACTCACTTCTTCTAGTACTTTAATGTAATTAAAAGATCATCTAGTACGCTTGCACACTCATTACTTCTTGGTCTACAATGTTTCAAAATGCTGCCTGTTTGAAGTGGAACCATTCAATTTTGTGCTGTGAAGTTGTACCAGTTCTACTCTGCCCTATCGGGTCACCAAGAGTCAGAATTGACTTAATTGCTGTGGGTTTTGTTTTGTTTTCATGGTGCCCTAATGGCATCATCAGTCAGTTACACCTTGGGCTGCTAACCACAAGGTCAGCAGTTAGGATCCACCAGCTGCTCCGTGGAGGGAAGATGAGGCTGTCTGCTGCCACAAAGATTTACAGCCTTGGACATGAGCATACAATTTCTGATTCTGTGACTCCTGTTAGGACACTGGCTTACTCTCTGCTCTGGCAAACACCTTCAGAATATTCATTCTGTATGCCTTTGTTTTATAAGCTTGATCTAAATTGGAAGCATCCCTCTCTTCATTGGTTTACTTGGTGTCTATAAAAACATGCCTCTAGGGGCAGTTCTAGTCTGTCCTTTGGGGTCCCTAGGGTTAGAATCAACTCAGGGGCAGGGAGTTGGGTTAGGCTTAGAAAGGTGTAGAGTTTGTAATCACCCATGTGTATAGAGCTGTACATTACATTGGAGACTTCTGAGGGAAAATGTTTTCATAGGAACCGTCGTCGTCACATCGATTCTGACTCATAACAACCCTATCCGTATAGGCTTTCAGAGACTGCAGATCTTCACTGGAGCAGTCAACTACATCTTTCTACCTCGCAGTTAGCAACCTAATGTCTAGCCTATGGTGCCACCAGAACTGTTACCTAGCTCCAAGTTACCAAACTAAGTACTGAGAGCCACGGGGACCCATGTTTTGGTAACTTAGAGCCAGGCTGCAAAGCCTAGTCTTTATACCCAGCTCAGCATTTCTATAATATCACTATTATTAGAGAGAAAACCAGGTCCCTGGTATTTGCCACCCTAGGCTTGTTGGCACAGGACTACATTCTTTACTCACTTGAAGCTCATTCGTGGAAGCTCTGGATGCAAGGTAACATTTCTATATTTTTTTCTCCAAACCATGTTTATAGAACCACGAAGTTAGGTACCATCTCTCAGACAATTCACTGATAAAAGTGCATTATAAATTATTTCATCACAATCCCTAAAAATTGAAAATAGATTCTTCTAGGAAACTTCCTGCCAAAAAAATTTTTTTTAATTGAATTTCTTTCATTTCTTGAAGGAGACTAAAACACTCATATCTCTAGGCTACAAAATTATATGTAGTGAGTTATTTCTAAAACCACTTCTTATATAGATGAATGTATAGTACCCAAATGGAGGTTTATGTAATAAATGCTGATACAGCCTTACTGCTATATAAAACCAAAATAGACTGCTGTTTTAATATACTTTAAGGTTTCAGAATGTGTGAATTTGCTGTTCTAATATTGTTTTTGCATTGTTTCAGAAATCCTGCCAGAAACCTGTAGACAAATATATCGAGTATGATCCTGTTATCATCTTAATTAATGCTATTTTATGCAAGGCCCAGGCCTACAGACATATTCTTTTCAATACTAAAATAAATGTAAGTTGTGATCAATTTTCTGTTCTTTTTATTTTACTTGATGATGCTTTCCATTGTACATGGATAATTATTCTGAACTGACTAAAGAAGATTATTTTTTAAATAACTTCTAACTTGAGAATGGATCTCTTATCGCAGCATATGTAGAAGTTTCTAGAAACAGCAAACAATAATAACAATGTTAGTGAATATTTAAGAACATGGTGGCTAACAAAAGCCAACCTATACTCGTACTGCCTTTTGAAAGAGACACCAATTATTTGGAACAGAATAAAATTAAACATATCAAAGTAAGAAAATAATTGTACCTAAAGAAATAAGCAAATAATTTTAATGTAACTTAATTGCATTTTATACTCTTCTATTGAGGAAAGGTATGAAGTGACTAACAACATTGAGTTTAATTATCAGGAAGGTCTGAAATTTATAAGATTGGGTTTCAAAAAATATCCATATACTGTATTGAATTATGAATTGTAATAGTAGGGTTAAGTAGAGTTGTGAAATAGGTTGATGGAAAACACAGAACATTCATTTAATTTGAAAATTAGATAAACAACAAATGTGTTTTTAGGATATTCCAAATATTGCATGTATATTTATACTAAAAAATGATTTTTATATCTAAAATTCAAATAGAATGAGTATTTTATTTACTAAATCTGCCACCCTTAAGCTTGGATTAACATGGACAATAGCAGTGTAATTTACCCTGTTTCCTCCCTCACCATTAAATAACTAGGACAGTTTTTAAATGATTCTTCAGAATTACTGTCAACTGGGACCCTTTAAAAGTCCTAAGCCTAGATCTCATGCAGAGCCAGTTAAATCAGAATCCCTGGGGATGGGTGAGTCCCACCATTCCAAGCATCAGGCGATTACTATTATGCAGCCGCCAAAGTCAGCATGCCAACAGAGGGAGCCTCCGACCCCCTGGGTCCCAGCAGCTTTCCTCCCTGCTTCCTTTTGCCACTCTGATGGCAGAAAGCTCCATGCTCAGGAGAAATGCACAGGGAAAAAAGCTAATTATTTTTTCACAATGTTTTCTAACTTAGTCAAATTTCATTTCAGACTCTTTATAACTTCTAAATGGTCACCTTTCATTCCTATTTTCAATACAGTAATTTACAATGCATTCACATTACGATGAACGATATTTGTCACCATCTTTTTTTCCCTGTTGTGCAGTAATATGCACAAATACATTGTTGGACTGTGTAATGTGTTGATGCTGACATTCTCAGATGTTTACTCACTGAAATTCGGTGTTAAGATTTTCTAAACAAAACATTACCAATATAGCAGGCTATGGTCTGGTCGACAGTGATGCCTGTGTCGGTCTCAGGAGTCAGTCAGAAGGGATAGAAAGTTGTTCTATCTCACAACATAGGACAACTGAACTGCACACATGTCTGACAGCTGTGAGGACTCTGACTTCATTCTTATGACATGTTGACAAATAATGAGCAGATGTAGAAAGGGCTGATGTAAAAGGCAATAATAATGAAAACATTAAAAGAAGTATTCAGTGTAGCATCAGAACCAACTTAGGACAGTTCTTGGCACAAATGGGTTTATACTCATCCAACCCAGAAGCTTTTCATTTTTCTTTCTTATTTGTGATCAGACTATTAATGTCTTATGAACTATTACAGACTCTTCAGATTAAATATTCTTATTTCTGCTGCTTCCTATACATGAGTCACAAAACTTTTGTGTACAGGACAGATTTTGGAAATACAAATTATATGGGTGAAGGGAGACAGTGAATAGTGTAAGATATGAAAATAATAATAATTTATAATTTATCAAGGGTTCACGAGGATGGGAGGGTTGGGGGGAGGGAAAAAATGAGGAGCAGATACCCAGGGCTCAAGTAGAAAGAAAATGTTTTAAAAAGGATGATGGCAACATATATACAAATGTGCTTGACATGATGGATGGATGGATTGTTAGAAGAGCTGTAAAAGCTCTCAATAAAATGATTTTTAAAAACATATACATATATATATATATATATATATAAATTACAAAGGAATTATTATTTCAAGTAGTAGTTTTTCATTAGCGTATACATTAGAATCCCTAAGGAACTGTTCCAAAATATACATGCCTAACTTAATCCCAAAGAATTTGAACCAGGACTTGAATTTGGTCTGGGGCCAGACATTTATTTGTATTTTGAAAAATTCTTCCAGAGTGCTTTCCAATGTGCATTACTGATTAAGAACCACTGATTTGCACAATGAATGCAATTAGGCACCTAATTTTGCAGTTTGGAATTTGAAAAGCTACCACATGGACATTCTTCAAAACATCAGATATTTGGTTGTATTTAGCTTTTATAGGCACAAATGTAGCTAAGCTTTTCTTTACCTCATTGAATGGTGACATCTTTTTGCTTCTCAGATCCATGGAAAACTCTGCATATTTTGTTTGCTCTGTGAGGCCTACCTGAGATGGTGGCAACTTCAGGATTCAAACCAGAACACTGACCCTGATGACTTGATTAGATATGCTAAAGAGTGGGATTTCTATAGAATGTTTGCCATTGCTTCTTTAGGTAAGAGGAAGCCATGCTTTCCGTTCTTGTTTAACCAGTTCTCTAGTCTGATTAAAACTAAGACATATGGTCTGAATAATTGCTAAGAGAAGCTAGTGAATATAGGATTTCAGACTACATTTTCAGCTCAGTGCTAATGTACTAGATGGTTTTTTCCTAAATCATCTGCTTCTCCAGTTGTTACCCTACGTATGATACTGGGTTGTGAGGAGTGGGGATCAAAACCAATGCTGGTTGTCAAGTTGGTTCTGGCTCATGGCAGCCCCGTGTCAGAATAGAACCATGCATAGGGTTTTCAATGGCTGTGACCTTTGGAAGTAGATTGCCCAGCCTCTTGGAAGTGCTTCTGCATGAATTCAAACCTCCATCCTTTCAGTTGGTAGCTGAGTGCCCATCCACTCAGGGACTTGGTACGTGTATCAGATTAGAAAGTCTCATATAATATTTTAAGACATAATTTTGTTGATAAAATGTTTCATAATTAAATTTTGATTACGAATTAGAAAATTACTAAGACTCATCTTCATTAAAACAGATTAATAGTTACCAGACATTACTAAATGAATACAGTGTATGCAATAGTGAAAAGGTGTTATTTATCGGACTGCATTCAGGGAAATTAGCTACCGCCTTAAATTTCCATAAGTGCCAGAATTGCTTTTCTTTGGAATTTAAGTTTGGGTCATTATATCCTAGGGTTAAAACGGTGTTAGATTAATGTCTGTGACGGTTCTAGTACTTACTGGTTTCCATGTTTTTCTTCTTCTTAATTCTTTGGCTACATTGAAGCATCTTAGTATGAACTCTCTAGCCCACTCAAGTGTCCTGAGACTTCTGGACATTGTGTCTCCTTTCCTTTTTCTACCCTCCCTCCCTTAACCATCTCTTCCATTTCTATGATTTCAGATTTTACCTATGTGCTCAGAATTCAAATACATACATCTGTAATTCAGACCTTTTTCCTGAGTTCCTTCTCAATATCTTCACTTGGATAAAAAATCACCATATCCAAAGCCAAGCTCCTGATCTTCTTGCCTACCCCACCCCAGGTCCAAATCTGTTCTACCCACAGCCTTCCGCATCTCAGTGATAGGTAAATCCATTCTTTCACTAGCTCAAACCAAAATACTGTAGCCCTCCATAATGCCTCTTTCTCTGATACCCCATAGTCATATCATCAGAAAATACTGTTGACTGTACCTTAAAAATATTTCTACTTTTCTTTTTTTTTAATCGTTTTATTAGGGGCTCATACAACTCTCATCACAATCCATACATACATCAATTGTGTAAAGCACATTTGTACATTCATTGCCCTCATCATTCTCAAAACATTTGCTCTCCACTTAAACCCTTGGCATCAGCTCCTCATTTTTCTCCTCCCTCCCGGTTACCCCCTCCCTCATGAACCCTTGATAATTTATAAATTATTATTTTGTCATATCTTGCCCTGTCCGACGTCTCCCTTCACCCACTTTTCTGTTGTCCGTCCCCCAGGGAGGAGGTCACATATAGTTCCTTGTAATTGGTTCTCCCTTTCCTACCCACCCTCCCTCTATCCTCCCAGTCTCTCCACTCACACCACTGGTCCTGAAGGGATCATCCACCCTGGATTCCCTGTGTTTCCAGTTCCTATCTGTACCAGTGTACATCCTCTGGTCTAGCCAGATTTGTCAGGTAGAATTGGGATTATGATAGTGGGGGAGGAGGAAGCATTTAGGAACTAGAGGAAAGTTGTATGTTTCATCGTTGCTACATCGCACCCTGACTGGCTCGTCTCCTCCCCGAGACCCTTCTGTAAGTGGGTGTCCAGTGGCCTACAAATGGGCTTTGGGTCTCCACTTCACACACACCCCCTCATTCACTATGATATGATTTTTTGTTCTGATGACCCCTGATACCTGATCCCTTTGACACCTCGTGATCACACAGGCTGGTGTGCTTCTTCCATATGGGCTTTGTTGCTTCTGAACTAGATGGCTGCTTGTTTACCGTCAAGCCTTTAAGACCCCAGAGGCTATATCTTTTGATAGTGGGCACCATCAGCTTTCTTCGCCACATTTGCTTATGCACCCGTTTGTCTTCAGCAATCGTTATCATGGAGGTGAGCACACAATGATATGATTTTTTGTCCTTTGATGCCTGATAACTGATCCCTTCGGCACCTCGTGATCACACAGGCTGGTGTGCTTCTTCCATGTGGGCTTTGTTGCTTCTGAGCCAGATGGCAAATATTTCTACTTTTCATCACTCCATTACTGCTGTTCTGATAGCAAGCTATCTCACCTAGATAACTCCAATAGCATCCTTGTGTCCAGCTTGGTTCCCCAACAGACTATATGCAACACAGAGTCACCCTTGTAAAACAAGTTTGATTATGTGATACCTCTGCAATCAACAAACAGTAGCTCCTCATTTCAACCAGAGTCAAAGTTAAGGTCGTTGCACTGACCCTAATAGACCCTCCATGATCTGCCCTTCCCAGTGCATCTCTAATTTCATTCATTTCTACCATATCCCATCTCTCCTTTCACCCAGCATCTAGTGTACTTGCTAATCTTCAAGCATTCTACACAAGCTTCCACCTTGGAACACTCATCCCCTGATAGCTGCATGTCCTTGTGTTTAAATGCCATCCAGTCAGTGATGCTAACCTGATGGACTTAGTTTAAATTGTACCTATCACCTACCCTCTGATACTTCAGATCTCTCATTCTATTCCTTCTTCTTCTTACAGTACTTCTCATCTGACATATCATAAGAGTTGTTGTCTTTTTTTATGGTCTGTCTTCACCTACAGCTGAATGAAGGCAACAGTCTTTGTTTTCTAGTCTCCGATGTAGTTTAACCCCCAGGTAAGTGCCTGCCATGAAGCCATTTCTGACTCATAGCAACCAATGAGATAGTAGTACAACCTGCCCCATTGGGCTTCCTAGGCTGTAATCTTTATAGGAACAGATTGACGGGTCTTTTATCCCCTGAGGAGCTGCTGGTGGTTTGAACTACCAACCAAGCACTTAAGTGCCCAATAAATATTTCTTGAGTCACTTGAATGAATTAATGAATGCATATAGATAGACAATATATTCTAATCTGAGATAAGTCCCTGCCAGTTACATTCATTCAGTACTGTATTCCATGTACTCAATCGCTGCTGTTGACTCAATTCTGACTCAAAGCCATCTTATAGGACCGAGGGGAACTGCTCCATAGGATTTGTATGACTGGAAGGGTGAGCAGGCTGACTCATTTTTTCCCATGGAACATATGGTGGCTTTGAGCCACTCACCTTTTGGTTATAGCAGCCCAACACTTAAATACTTGTACGAGAGGGTACCCCCCAAAAAACAGAATTTTTCTCCACAAAGCTATATATTTAATTTTTTTACAAAACAATCTATTTCCCTCAAAGTACTCAGAAACATTTTTCAAACTCATCTGTTTGGATGACTGACAGCACCTCCCTCGGGTTTTTTTTCTTCACCTCTTCAACGTCATCAAATCATTGTCCTTTCATGTCCCTTGTGGTAGTTAACATAATCTGTTGTCAATTTGAGACTTATGAGTGAAGGGGTGGAGTTTAGCCTGTCAATCAGGTTTCAGCTTGATGACCTCATTTGGAGAAATAGCTTACTGGAGGCGGGACACATACTCACTCCCTGGGAGACATTGCAGCTGACAAGACACTAGTGCCCTGAGCTTGAGGAGCCACATGTAGACCCACGCCAGCACTGAGATGTTTATATCACCACTGGATCCACAGGACTTCCCCACTGGCCCTGTGACCTTCCTGCATTTGGCGTCATTGCATGTGTTTTGTGAGTCTGAAGAAGACTTTATAGATTGGTATCAAACATATGGGCTAACATTGGACTTATGGACTTGATCTGGACTGAGCTGGAATGTTTTCTTAATGTACACTTACTCTTTATATAAAGCTCTTTCTTATACACATATGAGTAACTATGAATTTGTTTCTCTAGTTTATGCAGACTAACACATCCCTCCTCACTTGTGGGAGAAAAAAAGAAGTCACATGGAGCAAGATCAGGTTAGGTGTGTGGGGCAAGAGAGGCATACTATTTTTTGCCAAAAATTGGCGCACTTTATTAAAACAATTAAAAAAACTGGCACACTGAGATGGCTGCATGAGCAAGTCCATTGTCGTGGTAGCAAAAACCGTCCCTCGTCTGCCACAAATCAGGCCTTTTCTGTCCCATCCTGTGACTCTTTATCTTTTCAGAACCTCTAAAGCGAAAGCTTGATTAACAGTCAGACCTGGTGGAATGCACTCCAAATGCACTGTCCCCCTCACACCACACACACAAAAAAAAAGTGCATCGGTTTTGTGGGGGCATCCCCTCATGTGTGCCAAAAGAATAAGCAATCCTGTCCTGGAAGAAGTACAACTAGAATGCTCCATAGAAGCAAGGATGGCAAGACTTTGTCTCATATACTTTGAGTATTTTATCAGGAGAGACCTACCCCTGGAGAAGGACATCATGCTTGGCAAAGTAGAGGGGCAGCAAAAAAGAAGTCCCTCAGCAGGGTAGATTGATACAGTGGCTGCATTGATGGGCAACAACACAATTGTGAGGATGGCACGGGATGGGGCAGCCTTTCATTCTGCTGTACAAAGGTCCCTTTGAGCTGGAACCGACTCAGTGGCATCTAACAACAGCATGTGTGAGGCACTAAAGACAAATCCATACAAAAGATATATTTAAAAGTTCCCTTTTGAAGCTTACAGTCAGAAATAAAGCATGATATCATTACTAAGTTTATGATACTTTAATGGCCATGTTGTCTACTCTTTTGGTAACTTTGGACGTATTCTAGATTCAGTTGTCACAGTTTAAAAATCACAATGTGAATGTTCCTTTGAGCCCCAGAGTCACAACTTAGCTACAAACTGAAAGGCTGGTGGTTCAAACCCATCAGTCTTCCCATGGGAGAAAGATGTTTCTATCCAGTTCCATTAAGGCGATCAGAAACTCAATGTGCTTGGGTTTCTGATAGTCTAAATCTACAGGAGTAGATGGCTCATCTTTCTCCCTAGGAACAGTTAGTAGGTTCAAACTGCTAACCTTGAAGCTTAATTCATAATCCAGTACTCTACCAGGGCATCTTGAAAGATGTTATTGTCTCTTAAAGTAATATTGGAAACATTCAAAATGATGTATTTTTAAATGATATATTAACATTGATATTTTATAAAGTATAATAATATTTTAAATATCCATGAACAAATCACTTAACTCAAGAACTAGAATGTAATATAATTTTAAACCTTAAAGCAAAATCTCTTGAAAATGTTGAAATTCAATGTCCATAATTTTTTCTAATTCAAAAAATCAAGTTGTTTTTTTTTCAAATAGTTTGCAATTCCTGTAGTACCTACTTTATAGTAGATTTTTGGTACTTAATCATAAGGGTTTTCTTTTTTACAGAAAAAATCAGATTATAAACCCCTAAAGGAGTTTAATAAGAATAAAGGACATTGATTTTTATCATTTAAAATTGCTTGTACATTGTGCAATTCTGTTTCACCTTCTCAAGTAGGTATGTTAAGTGTTGTCACCCATCCACAGTTATGAAAAAATTGAATTAGAAAGGATAAATATTTTTCTCACAGGCCTCCAACTAATTTAGATCAATACTGAGACTTAAGGAAAGGTCCCTTGACACCCAATCTGGTGTTCCCACCACTGAAACTGTCCAGATAGGTCGAAGCTCCTACCAACTCCATCAGCAATACCTAACTGGGGACAGGATTTTGCAGAGCCTGACGTACAGGGCAGTTTCATCAACCCAAAAGAAAAACATGGTCCAACCTTCTATCTAGTACCACTTCCCCTCCTCCCGAGATTCCCCGAAGGTCGTCCAATTCCTTCCGTCTGAGTATGTCTCCGTTCTTGTTGTCAGAGTTTCTCATTTTGTTTTTTCTTGATTGCAACACCAATCTTTGAGATCTTCCTGTTTGAACAGATCCAGTGATACCTCAGTTATCAAACTCATTTCGTTCCAAATTCATATTTAAACACAGAAAAGGTCAAGAGCTAAACATATTTTTCCCAAGAGAAATAATGGAAAACCAAATAATTGATTCTGTGGTGCAAAAATTATACTTATAAATTCATTTTTTCAAGACTTTAAATCACTGTGGAGGCTTTTTAGCCTGCTTACATATAACTGTCTTGGATATGCTATCATGATCAAGTTGTTTGTGATTTATCCAAATGAACAATAACTTTTCAACCTCTTCAATGATCTGGGTTCTTTATTTCGTGATCAATGATTTCACACCTTTTGCTTTATAGACTCTCTAATCACCCCCCCACCCCACCCCCAAAATGCTGATAATGTCTACTTAGCCATGTTGTATCCAGCTGCCAAATCAGACCAGCGGCGACCTTTAACTCTATCATGGGTGTCACAGTTTTCCTCTTAGCTTTACTGCTGGGATCACTAACTGTCTTTGGAGCCGTGGTTATGTTTTGTACAAGAAAGCACAATGATGAATATTTTAAAGTACTATATGTTGTCTCAGCAAGAGCAGCATTTAGCTTGAGGCATCACCCTTTTGTGTCCTTTGAAAGATGCGACAGGTGACTCAGCCATACAGGTTTTTTTATTCCGATTTCCATTTGGATTAATGAGCAAAGTTACAAACACCGAACAGATTTTTTTCAAAGTTGGCTGCTTGAGTAGTGGAAAGCTTGGAGCTATTCAACAACCAAGATAGCACTGTCCTTGGGATTCATTGATTGCTTGCAGTGATTTTCAGAGGAGAGGGTACATTTCCCTGAAGCATATGGTGAATTCCACGCAGGCCAGCCATTCTAAATTACTTTTATTGGTCATAGGCACCTATATTTGTAATCTCTTTAGTTTGGTCATGTTTTAAGACATTTTAAGGGAAT